AAATTTAATTGTCACCTTTGTTTACCTAAATGAACCTACAAAACAGAGCTCGAACGATAAAAATAACCTGTAAAAAGTCTGGCAGTTGAACACAGAAATTATAAAGTACAGTACAGTAGAGCACAGTACAGTACAGTACAGTACAGTACAGTAGAGCACAGTACAGTACAGTACAGTACAGTTCTACTAACCTAAGCTAACTTATCCAAACTCAATATAGATTTGGTAAGTGCCAGTTTAAGCAGGCGTTCTCAATTTATTTTGGCCGTTGCCCCGAATCAGACATGACGTACGTAGATATGAAGCGAGAAAACTATGAACCATATGTATTCACTAACTTGGGTGTCAGTTGGGATCGGATTGGATTTGTTCTATAATCATATAAGCTCTACCTCCGAAAAATGCCAAGTTACCCCCGCGGGGGTAAAGTACCCGTAATTAAGTGCCCGAGAGTAGTTAGGGTATACCCAAGTTCCACTAAATCATTTACATAGTCCAAATAACAACTATTTATCAATTCACAAATGGAGGTGTGTGGCTTCAACACCAAGCGACTTGAGGATAAGGAAGTAGAACACATATTTTATGGAGCTCGACAGTGGCAGACAATGTCGAATGGTGGTGGAGGTGACCTGGAGGGAGTTCAGCCGGACCCTGCTTGGAGAGGCACCAGGAGGAGGCGGGTGTACTCCTGTTAGTGGTTACCTGGAGTAGGCCAGGATTTGTCTTAAGCCTCCGCCAATTCCTGAACAGTGAAGCCAACATGTGTAATTCTGCCTGATAATTACAGAGGCAGGAATACGTTTTATTCTCGTCACTAATGACTTACCGAGCGTTTTATCATCTCCCACGACCTCGCTTCTTCACGCCGCGCCGCCAGTTGAGACATCAAAGTGACGTCACGACCAGCAGTGCGTAGAGGTGATTTTTCAAGGACTTCCCTCGATTAACAAACTATTAATTCATTAATTGTCTTTTTTCATTTCGTTAGAAGTAAGATTTTTTTTATTTATTTATAAATTTCTTTTCGTCGATTTCACTTCTAAAGTAAAACACTTATATCATGGCATAAGATGTGTTGCCTTTATTTTGATATAATTTTGCTAACTTTGTGCTACACTGTAGTGTTTAAGTTGGTTGTTAATAGTTTATGCAATGGCTGGATAACTTAGTGAAAGGAATATTACCGTAGTTTTCAGGAGCATTGTTTACCTTTAAGATACGAAAGAACAATCATTTGGCAGCTCAAGACACGGTGTATAGCTATTGTTCTGTCTGTGGTGGTGTCAAGACTCATGAGTCCGCCCGATTTATTACAGTAGCGATTATTCAAACCAATAGCAATGACATGACAAGTAACATTGTTATGTATCAAATAACAATTCAGCCAACGTTTTTTGTTCTTTGTAACCTAAGTCACGTTACAGCGGCTCACCCTGGGGTTATGGGTGACGGCGGCCGTGTTGCCTCGTAGGTTTTGTGGGCGCTGGGGGCGGGTATATCCTGCTGTGTGTGTGTGTGATTGTTTGCACGGGAATACATCCAGTTGATTAAATCCTGCGTGTGTAGGGGGCATCCCACAGGCTGAGAGTCCACTTGTAGGGGGACATCCGACATCCTGGAGGTTCTCTGTGTGAGGTGACACATCCTGGAGGCCCGGCGGGACTGTATAGGAAGGAGCTCATCTTTCAGGACAACGGGGGGCGTCATAATAGGAGACAGGTTAAAGGAGGGTGGGAAGGGCACATCCTGCGTGGGATTTGGTCGGGCACCTGTTGTGTGGGAACCCTGACCCTGGCGAGCCTCGTGACCACCAAGTACTTACCTGTTAAAATAATGGTGTATTGACATATGTCATTAGATAAGATCTACTATGGGCCAAGGCCTTTGACTTTGTCTCACCAGATAAGAAAATATCCAGGCGCTTCTAAGCTTCACAATTTTACTGAACCATGGCGAAATGAAATTACGATGATTGGAGATATTCGCTAGGCTGTGGGAGAATATGCGAGAGGCTTTCATCCAACTGTGAAATTATATTGGCTGGTAATAATTATGCTATTTTACACTCAAGAAGTATAGAATGTTATGCTGGCGTCATTTATTGTAAAGTGTGTCATTTGAAACGTAATGGTAGTTAGGAAAGGCTACGCGTGTGTGCATAGGAAGGTAATTATTTAACATGATGTAGGACATGTACTTTGTATAATACGTTAATAATAAACTACAACATTCCCTTCTGATCGTCGCATCATAGGAATTGGTGGCAGGAGCAGGTATTACAAGTAAATGACAACTGCGGAAGTAGGATTAATAAAAACGAGGAAAATTGTTCTAAAATAAGGAAAATCACCCACATGGTAACTATGGATGCTCGCTTGACTTTTTGGCGGACTTACCGCTGCATATTCATTTTAATAGACAATTTCAAATGCCATGACTATTTTTAATACAAATTATTCTTATTCTTATTATTATTTGAGATATTAAAATACGTTCATATATAAATTTTAGTACGTATTAGAGAAATATGAAGATTGTAGAGTGAGAACGGGCAGTTGATGGCTTGAGTGAACCTCCGCTGGACGTCGTTTATAGCGCTTCACCTGTTATAACTTGTGGTGGTCTAATGAACATTTTATTACAACGTACGCTATTTGCAGAAAACCTTTCGTCTTATGGTGGACACATGAACTGTATTAGGTAAGTCACATCAGCATTATTTAGTAAATTAAGTGGTGCAACGACTTTTTAAAACGTATCTTCATCTGTCTGTAAACTTGTGATGACAAAAGTTATATTTTACTCTCATCTAGCACTGTAACTATTGGGCTACGTCTAGTTGGGCAATACGCACACTACTTAGCGTGCACTCGGCTGCTGAACGGAATAGTATTTCAATGCCGTATTTGCCGCACGCCATGCAAGTGAGCCGGAGTTAAAGGAAGACTCGTAGCGCGGTGTGTTAACACATTAAAAGATGGCGGCGGCTACAAGAGTCTACTTGTGTTCGTTCTGTAAATCACTTTTTTCTAATGATTATGGGGTATATTGAGGCAATTTCTGTAGAAGCATACAGTAACCAGCTAACTGTGGGTACTCGACCTAGATTATTAAGTTGTTGGTGGTGGTATGGCGGTAACGTGTTATCTTTCACTGCTGTCAATATTGTAATGGGTTCGAGTCCTGCTTGGTCCTGATACGTGAGAATGTTATTCAGTGAAACACCAGCAGCTATTTAGCAAGTTATATTGAACTTGGGCCTTGTTTAATGTTTACCAGAGATCTGCTGATCGACTTTTCAGTACACCCTTTAGCCGACCGTTATGGACGCAGCCATCTGTACATTGGAGAATTTTTATTATAGAAGAAAAAAGTTGTTTATTACCCTTTAATTAATATGAACCATGTATTGAAGAACTGAAAACAAATTACAAGACATTTCATAATCATTGAAGATAATTTAATTGAGAAAATGATGGTAGGCGTCACCCGTGTTCGTTCCGAAACGGAAAGAGCGTACGCTTAGAAGTTGAGGCCCTCTTTGAAGAATATACTGTATACCCCTATATATACACACACACATGTATATATATATATATATATATATATATATATATATATATATATATATATATATATATATATATATATATATATATATATATATGCTGATAACCACAAGGAAAGAAGAAAACACGAAGTGTGTCATTTGAAACGTAATGGTAGTTAGGAAAGGCTTCGCGTGTGTGCATAGAAAGGTAATTGTTTAACATGATGTAGGACATGTACGTTAATAATAAACTACAACATTCCCTTCTGATCGTCGCATCATAGGAATTGGTGGCAGGGGCAGGTATTACAAGTAAATGACAACTGCGTAAGTAGGATTAATAAAAACGAGGAAAATTTTTCTAAAATAAGGAAAATCACCCACATGGTAACTATGGATGCTCGCTTGACTTTTTGGCGGACTTACCGCTGCATATTCATTTTAATAGACAATTTCAAATGCCATGACTATTTTTAATACAAATTATTCTTATTCTTATTATTATTTGAGATATTAAAAGACGTTCATATATAAATTTTAGTACGTATTAGAGAAATATGAAGATTGTAGAGTGAGAACGGGCAGTTGATGGCTTGAGTGAACCTCCGCTGGACGTCGTTTATAGCGCTTCACCTGTTATAACTTGTGGTGGTCTAATGAACATTTTATTACAACGTACGCTATTTGCAGAAAACCTTTCGTCTTATGGTGGACACATGAACTGTATTAGGTAAGTCACATCAGCATTATTTAGTTAATGAAGTGGTGCAACGATTTTTTAAAACGTATCTTCATCTGTCTGTAAACTTGTGATGACAAAAGTTATATTTTACTCTCATCTAGCACTGTAACTATTGGGCTACGTCTAGTTGGGCAATACGCACACTACATAGCGTGCACTCGGCTGCTGAACGGAAGAGTATTGCAATGCCGTATTTGCCGCACGCCATGCAAGTGAGCCGGAGTTAAAGGAAGACTCGTAGCGCGGTGTGTTGCCACATTAAAAGATGGCGGCGGTTATCAGTATATACCTAGATCACGCGCACCTACAGTGATTTACTTGCATATATATATATATATATATATATATATATATATATATATATATATATATATATATATATATATATATATGAAAATCACACGGGAAAAGGAAACAACAGAGCACCTTAGCTTTTGTCTTTATTCAAGACATCTTCAGAGGCAACTCTGAAGATGTCTTATTATCTTATCCACGTTTTCATTGTGGATCTACATATATATATATATATATATATATATATATATATATATATATATATATATATATATATATATATATATATATATAAGCCATACATTTGTGGGGTCCCAGGTACACAAGTCCCAGGCCACACCTGTCAGCATCAGGTTGGGCTAGGGAGGTGCACCCGGCGCCAGAAATACCTCTCGTGTTTACTCGTTCCAGCTGGGACACGCCCGCCACTAAACCAAAACAAACACTCCTGTGTGGCGGTCTCATGGCACGAAGGACAGTACAAACACCGCAGCCCCACAAGGCCCACGACGCCCCCTAGTAAGGCTTAATAGTACTTGTATTAACTTGTATTACATAGTCAAGATAGATTGCATGTCACACCCGTGGTGTTCAGTGGGTTAATTATGGTGATGCTGAACAGCTGTCAATTTCTTGCATGGGCTTTGTATGCTGTGACCACTCCATCCCAGAACTGGACCATGAAGGTAGGCTCAACAGTAGGCATGTCCACGCTTGGGTTCTTCACACACGCACAGACAGACATTTTTTTCCTTGCCTTTGCCAGCTTACTTAGTTATTTTATTCTGGACGAAGGCTCTGTAGAAATCTGCCCACCGTGTGGGTAGGCTAGTGGTTCTGCAAAATATATTTACTACTCTGTTGTCGATTACAATGTCTTGACCTTCCCGGTTCTTATTCAATCTTATCTCGAAGGTCAGATTGTTTGGAAAGGCGGCCACCGTGTCAGGTAGTTCTATGCGTCCACAATGTGTTGAGAATTGTTTTGTTTCAACATTGTGCATGGACGAGTATTTAACCCCTTCACTACTGGACGCCACTTTTAATATTCTATTTGGATAAAGCCAAACGATTTTATTCAGCACAGAGATACCCCTTGTGGCCAAGGGATTAACAACTGAAAGTTTTGAAGCTGGTTCCGCCGTGGACACACTAGCAAAAGAAAGTTGACATGCAATTCGCTTTTCCTGTCTTGTTTTTGCAGTTTTTAGTTCATCTCCATCTATAGTTATTAAATTTGTAATGCCAGGACTGGTGGTTAGCTATTTTTTTTTTACAAACGTCTGGAACTTTCTGGAGTTTGTCTGTGTGTCTTCGCAGTATGGGGTGCCTAATAAATAACCGCGTTTGTGGGGGTGGGATGGAAACTCAGACCACTTGTGCAGAAAAAGTGGTATGTGTATTTATTCTACCTCTCATTTTTGACCAGTATGGTGTTTGTGTTCGGGTGTGCTAGCGGTAATGTGCTTCCAACTCTTGTGTATAATAGATATTCGTGTGCAGATGCGTGACCATGGTGTAGTGTTATATTATCGCTCTGGTATCACTTACTATGGTTGTGGCGGAGGTCTACCACTGTCACTTCTCCCCTTTAAAGTGTCTGTCCCTCGATCCTACTAATAACACAGATGTGGGAAAGAGATAAATAAAGATAAATGGTTTAGGAAATAGTGTGTAGATGTGCTTTGCTGACAATAGACAACATAAAACTTAATATTGGTTTAGTTTTATTTGTCCTAAGATTTATTAGTCACCATGATTATTAAATCAGTCTCTCCAGAATTCAAATCTTGAAGGAAAAATTTTCCAATCTATATAAGATATATGAAAAGGCTTCAGAATAATGCCGCAGTGTAATGTATACGATAAAGTTTAAGTTTGTATTTTGTGGGAAATTAATATCCAGACCAGAAAATTCTACGAAAGTGAAAGATGCAGATTAAAAAGTCTCTGCGTCGACACACGTTACTTTTCCATTCGTTCTTTAAGAGTTATTTAAATTTACGTCGAGAATGTTGGGGGGATACTGACTAGGATGTAATATTCAGGTATAAGGATTGGTATATATATATTTTTTAAAGCCTTAGATAAACCAGTGCATATGATATATTAATACAATGCAATACTGTATGTTGTAGATTATCTTGAAAAGACCGCAGAATTATCACACACACACACACACACACGAAATACTGCGTGTGTACATCATGAGAGAAAAAGATGACCTAATACGCTATAATTCTCGTAATGTATCACATAATCCACAAAACCCGGGGAAACGATATAAAAAAAAAACCGGTCTTGGGTTTTTAGGAGAGTAAAATAAACAGCTACTGACGTTCCCATTACAAGCGACGGTGATGTAATTTACTGGACTACATTGACGTCATCAGCAGCCAAATATTCTTGACGTTGGAGCTCCCCCGTGACTCGGTGCAAAATTAATATTCAATAATCCTTGATTCTCTACGGATGAAGGGTGGGGGTGACGCCCTTCCATTTTGGATTTCACAAATGGGTTGGACATATTGACAGTATACCGTGTCATGTTTTAATGCAGTATGTATGTATGTATGTATGTACTTTATTTCAATCCGTCACTGGATATAAGCAACATGTTTACTGCCTTTTACTACTTAGATCCCCCTCCTAATCTTTCAGAAGACATTAAACAGTATATAAATGAGAGTTGTATAGTTCTCTCATACAGTCTGTTCTATGTTGCACCTCCACAAAGTCGTGTTAATAAATAGGATATACTTCTCGGTCATTTTAAAACATACGATTACTTACGTGTGTTGTTATGCTAGAGCAGGACACAAGCTCTTAGTAGTCTTTCTTCAGAGGAGAAAATAAGACATGCCTATAAATCATATTTAAAAAAAGAGGAAAAAGGCCTCAGTTCCATTGTATGACGACACAAAGTAAAGTACATGTATTTTTTTTTCCTGTGTAGCAGAAGATAAGTCATAGACACAGGTAGTGAGGTCATTGGAAATTATTCTCCGTTAATAACCAGGAGTAGAGTTATTCCTACAGTATTAAAATATGTTAAATCTACCTATTACTCAGCTGCGTTGTTTTGTTATGATTTATTTCAGAGTAAAAAAAAAGATTCTTAAATGTAGATATGAAATGTTAATGCATCTAAAAGCCATAAACTTTATCAATTATACCAACAATTAACTCAATCTGCATCACTCATTTCGTACACACAGCTCATGAATATCTTTACTGTTCCTCTATGATCCTTTCTTAGTATTTGTTAATTATTCTTGGGATCTTTCTGTTCTTCCCGTCTGTGGTATTAGTGTGTTCTGTTTTCTTTCCTTTCCAGTTTTATCGGATTTATTTTGGTGTCACTGTTAAATCCTTCCTTCCTTAGTCTCTTTGATGCTCCTTTACCGTCTTGTCTGAATCCGTTTTTATTTACCATACCACTATTAGATCCCGTCTCATCCTCCCTCTTCTCTTTTTCATCTCTCGTTCGTTTACCCCAACGTTTTTGCCATTATTGTGTAGCTCAGATCCTTCCCCTTCTCGCCAAATCCCTTTACTTTCCCTCACTTGAACAAACGCACCAAACTTTCCCACTAGCTCTATATAACAATCCCAAGAAAGTCCGCCCTAATGGCCGCAGGGAACATAACTCTTTCTTCTCCCGGGCTTTTAAAGTGACGATTCTAGTCTTCAAAAAGTCACATCTGCGGTTTTTTACGCGTTAAACTTCTTCAGGGAAGTTTTCAATCGCCTTTTGTCTCAGACCGACTTGGCGGGGAATTCTAATTATGAACCATATCCCACTGGGTGGCAGTGACGCCTGCCAGAGTGCCGATAATCCTCAATACATTATTCTTGAGCTCTAAGAGATGTATTTGGATCTGAATATATATTGAAAATCTAAAGTTTAACGTTACAAAATAAGATTTGCGTTTTTGGAAAGCATGAATAATTCCAGTGTCATGATATACAGTAGGTAATTAAATGATGAATTTATTGTATTTGAGTGATCCAACAGCCACGGTCTTTAAGTTCATTAATTCGACTTGTACACAACAGTACACAACTGCTTTCATAATAAAAAAAAATATTCTGTGTATCATCTGATTATTAGAATTCTCGAGACTGATGCTGTAAATTGTGATCAGTGAACGAAAATTGTTTCCGTAATTAAACCTTAATGACAAAACTTTTCACCTGGGAACTTTACCAACCAAATTCACTCATTAAGCAACTGGAAATTCTCCGGCAGAACTTCAGAAGCTTTGATGTTGTAATTCCCTTCTCTTACCAATCAAAATCTTACGTTTATAATCGTATTTTTCCGGTGTCAGAGATTATCTAATTAAGCAGAGTTTTATTTGTTCATGAAAGCATCGCAGAGATGGTCTGAAGATTGTCATCAAGGGTGAGACAAGAGATACTTTATCATATTTCTTATTTGTATTTCAAATTTTGCATAATAACAGGTATATCGTATTTTCCTGATCATATAATAAATGTATCTTTGGTTTGCAAGTTTCTTACTTCAAGGTCGCTTGAATCTTCTTCTACAGTGTGTAGGTAAAAGTGATGCCTTGACGCGTCATACTATACTGTACTTTGCTTAGCGTCATGTAAAATTTATTGGACTTTTTCTTGTTTGTCCAATGATTCCCTGAGCAAGGAACACACCCATGACCCTTCATTTATTTTTGTTTTCGTCCCTCTGATTCTCAGATTTGTACGTTATATTTTCTTGGTCAATGGGAATGTAACACATTTACAGGCTCTATTTATTTTTATGTTTCACTTTTCGTTTCCAGACGATTCGATGTTTGGACATATTTCTGATATACAACACAACATGTCTCAACATGGTACGTTGTACACTCTTGTTTTGGGGGAGTTGACGCCCTCCGGTAAAGGTTATCATTAGGATTAATTAACAATCAAGAACAAAACCTTACTTCTTTGTCGACTAGTGAAAATGCAGCTTGGGTTAACACATGCATAATATATAATTTACTGTAGCATTTAAGATCGTATGTATGTGTATAAAATGATGGAATTAAATGAAATAGATCTATGTGATCTTGTGGAAAGTCGATGATAACAAAGGAAGAAGTCTATCTGTATGTTTACTCTTGATTTTGACCTGAGCGTGGACAGTGTACTGTCAACATCCATAAATGGGAGCAATGTACTGTATACCACTTTGATCGTCTGGCAGCTATTGATATACTGTATAGTTTGATATTTATCTTCAAAGTTAATCATTAATCTCTTAAGTTTCCGGGTGCGTGTTCAAGTTCTCAAACTAGTTTAAGTGTGTAAACAATGAGCATGTTGGGGGGAGGGTAGCCTTGTGAGGGAATGTATTCTGTTTGAGTTCATCTTGTAAACGTGCCCAAATGAAGCACACCTCATCAAGTTTTGGCCGTAAAACAGTCAGCAGCTGCTCCCACATGGACGAGAAAAATCTAACAGAATAATAAAGCATGTAATGCAGGTTTTCTTTCGATATTTTTTCTTTCTTATTTAGGTTAATATTTACATTTTGTTTTCTGGTTAAAATTTAGTTTTTTGTGTACGAGTTTATATTTGTTGTATTTTAGCAAATGTTTATATTTCTTTGTTTAAGCTAATGTTTACATATTGTCCTTTGGTTAATATTTATTTGTTTAAATTAATTTTGTTCTGTATTTAAGATTGATACTTGGATGTTTCTAAGATATTAAAAGTACAGTTATTTAAAACATGTGTCGTGGGTCCTCTTTTTGATAAGCTTTGTTTTGGCATTAAGTTAAAATGTGGATTGGCATGTTTATGAAAGAGGAAAACGAACAATTATGTATAGTACAGTAGTAAGAGTTATATGAAGATATATATGGTATTTTAGTTCAATACTTAGAAATGCTGTTTTATTATTTGAATAAATGATGATCTTTCTACATCTGGGATCCACAGGGACGGTCTGAAAGATGTCACACATATTCAGTTTCACCTCCTGAAGGTTCGTCCTTAAAGCACTGGTTTCAGGTTATTCAATAAACTATTTCAGTAACTGTCATTAGAAACTATAACATTCCTGATGTACCTCGCATTGTGTATGTCATATTTGGAACTAATGAAATTGCAGTTACTACTACTACTACTACTACTACTATTATTATTATTATTATTATTATTATTATTATTATTATTATCCAATCTCACATACAACTAAAGTATACCGCATGAGGAATCTCCTCTACATGTTTAATTTATAGTTTTACACAAAGATGTTGAAAAAAGAAATGTCATGTATAGTTTCCAGGCCTGAACATTACCATTATTTACTGGTGTTGGAAAAGCAAACAGAGGCATTCAATATTATTCAAAAGGCTTATTAATTTTGTTCTCTTCTTTACAGATCTTAGAGGAAGGACGAGGAACAGCAAATATGTCCGAAGAAGTGGTGCTGGAAGATTTAGTGGTGAAACACAGTTAACCAACCAGTGGTAAATGCTGTATAGTGTTACTGAAAATGAAACATGGGTGAGCTATAGATGACCTATTTTAAGTGTAAAGTGACCGTCGGGGAATATTGTAAACATTAATAAACAGCGTAGTTCTAGCTGTATGCTTCGTGGACATGAAGTTATTATATACAACGAAACCTGAAAGTAAAGAACTGGTGTAGACTCAAAGTGCGGAGTATCTATTGTGTGAGTAGCAGCAACAACATGAATATGGAGCTATTATCTAACATTAAACATAAGGGAAATATAAAGGAAAGTGTGTGTGTGTGAAGTTTTGACACGTATACAAGGCTTAACTCAGGCGACCTATTTAACTTGTTAAGTGAGAATCTTATCACAATGAACATACCAGGTTTGCCTCTGTGCTATTTAATATTAATCGAATACTTTTTGAAATATAAACGACTAAAGAAATGGTTAGAAGGAATTATGTAAATTATTTTTCCAGTAAATTTACAAGGAAATATATGCGAATCAGGTTAAGGAGTACTTTCATCAATTTGTCAAAGTGATGGTTGGCATTCAAAACAATCAAAGAAAATGGAATCTCAAGAAGAGCAGAACGACCAAAGAAAACGCGTCAGAGAGGAAGGTAAGTACAGTAAATTATAATTTTTGTCAATATTATTTTTTTTACTTCGGTAGAGAGCAATCAAACGTATCACAGTTTGTAGGGGAATATATTAAATACGTTTGTACTGCATAACTAGCAATTGCCTGATGATAATCGGTTAATATTGACGACAAATTAATAGAGTCTAGAATCTAGATATTGATTTTTACAACTTTATACGGATTCAACATGTAGTTTTATTGTGTAACTGCGTATACTATATTTTGCAGTAAACAAAAAGATTCTGTTGTCATTTTGAATTTCTTGCCCTAACATGTACTAAGCATAAGGCGGGCGATGTCGACTCCTTTAAATTTGCGCTTAAAACAAACGGGTTTACAAAACTAACCGTTAACTCAATACAGTAAAGTCCAGAACAGTAAATATCACCGCCTGTTCTACCACTAATATGTGCATCATATTGTATCGTAAAAGCTTTCTTTAATTAGGAATATTTCCATTGTATGAACTTTATGATGTAGAAGAATGCACAAGACGTTCCTAATATTTCAATTGTGCATTTACGACTACCGGGTGTAAGACTCAAACATGACGAGATATTTGCTTAGTGAAGTCTCTGAAAACATTATAGCCTATTATACTGATAAATACAGAGCATTAGGATGGAAAGAGAAGATTTTCGTTCAGTACACATCGTCTGAATAGTGTCACTAGTACAGTAATATCTCCAGGTATTTCTTCTTAATCTTTGAATGCATTATTATTGTACTCATTAAGTCTAAGTTTTCATCTTTTTCCTGTTTCCTCCCCAACAATTTTTTTTGGCTGGTTAAAACTGCATTGGGATAGAGGACTTCTTGCTTTTTTTTGTATATGAAGTAGTCACAGTATTTAGTTACCGAAAAGTTTCTTCTTGAAAATAATAAGGTTGTGTCTGACTGTTAAATCCACAACTAGAGCATTATCCGATACTGGGTAGCAGTGCAGTTATTTACGTGTTTAATTATCAACAATATTCACCAAATTTAATTCCCACAAAAAGTATGGTTACTGTAGAAGCATTATTGAGACGACTTTCTTTTTACACAATAAAGCATTGGAAAGGAGGCTGGGGGCGTGAGAATAAATGACTGCTTCATTTAAGGTGAACAAGAAAAGCCACTTATTAGGTGCTGGCGAGGGTCTCCCAAGGGATAAGTTGGCAGTGCCTCCTGTAGGTCGTTTAGGGCTCTGTCGTGGTGGTGATGGGAGCTGTAGTGATGAGGTGTTGTGATGATGGCGAGCTGTAGTGATGAGTGTTGTGATGATGGGGAGCTGTAGTGATGAGTGTTGTGATGATGGCGAGCTGTAGTGATGAGTGTGGTGATGATGGGGAGCTGTAGTGATGAGTGTTGTGATGATGGGGAGCTGTAGTGATGAGTGTTGTGATGATGGCAGCTGTAGTGATGAGTGTTGTGATGATGGGGAGCTGTAGTGAGTGGTGTTTGTGATGATGGCGAGGCTGTAGTGATGAGTGTTGTGATGATGGGGAGCTGTAGTGATGAGTGTTGTGATGATGGAGAGCTGTAGTGATGAGGTGTTGTGATGATGGGGAGCTGTAGTGATGGGGTCTGGAAATCAGGGCGACATAAAATTCAAAACTCGTTTGTTCCCATAAAAAAAGGAAAAACAAAATATTGAACTATTTAGAAAAAAACACATAAAATTGTTAGATATTTTTTTCTTCTTCTGGCGGCAATGAAATCAAAATATAAAACGTTGAGGTAATTTCGTCCTTCTCCCCGCCACACGTGTTTGGTCTGGTGGCCTTTTGTCGGTTTAGAGGGGAACTGTTTACGATGTGTCCTAGGCTCCCTCACTGACACCCGACTGGCACGAGGGGAAGAATGTGATGGAAGCGGGAGGCGCGGTAGGAGAGGAGGCGGAAGCAGTTGTAGACAAGCAGAGCGCGAGGGGATGACACAGGAGGGAAGGAGAGTGGGGAATTGGAAGGAAGGGGAGGTAAAAGCTTTTACAGGGGAGAGAAAGGAGGGGGCGATACCTGACAGGAGGGAGTGGTGGTGGGCTTTTACAGTTTGTGTAGAAGGAGGAGGAATAGGTAACGGGAAGAGGGGATGGGGAAATAGCTGATAAAGAGGGGGATGAAGGACCTTTACAAGGGAACTGGACAATGGGAAGTAGATAGGTGGATAGTGTGGTGAGTGTAGGAGACAGAGGAGGAATTGAAGTTCGTACAGAGAAGGAGGCGAAGGAGGAGGTGGTGGGGGGGCTATAGAAGACTTGCAGCAGAAGGAAGATGAGGAGAGTGAGAGTAGTGGCGAAGATGATACAGAGGGTGTAGATGGGGAGACTCAGGGTGTAGACGGGAGATGGGTGGGGGGTGTAGACGGGGAGATGGGTGGAGGGGTGTAGATGGGGAGATGGGTGGAGGGTGTAGACAGGGGAGATGGGTGGAGGGGGTGTAGACGGGAGATGGGTGGAGGGTGTAGATGGGGAGACTCAGGGTGTAGACAGGGAGATGGATGGAGGGTGTGGAGGGAGATGGGTGGAGGTGTAGACAGGGAGACTCAGGGTGTGGAGAGAGGGGTGTGGAGGGAGATGGGTGGAGGGTGTAGACGGGGAGATGGGTGGAGGGTGTAGACAGGGGAGATGGGTGGAGGGGTGTAGACAGGGACGATGGGTGGAGGGTGTAGACTGGGAGATGGGTGGAGGTGTAGACGGGGAGGTGGGTGGAGTGTGTAGAGGTAGATGGTCGCGTGAGAAGGACCGATGTGTAGCAACGGCATTATTTGATGGAAGCATTTTTTTTATTCTAATTCAGAAGAGTCGAGAGACGTGGACCAGAGATGGAAGGGGAGGTATGTGGGAGGGAGAGGAGGTATGAGGGAGGGAGGGGAGGTATGTGGGAGAGAGGGGAAGTATGTGGGAGAGAGGGGAGGTATGTGGGAGGGAAGGGAGGTATGTGGGAGAGAGGGGAGGTATGTGGGAGGGAGGGGAGGTATGTGGGAGGGAGGGGAGGTGTGGAGGAGGTTGGAAGTGATATAAGGATGGGGATAGTAGAGAAAGGAAAGGAGGTGACCTTTTTTTACATTAATTAATTGACAGTAGTGGAGGAAGGAAAATCTATATATATAATTTCTAGGTGCGTGAGAGACCTTGTGAGTTAAGAGTTTTTAAAATTATAAAGAGAGAATAAATTTTCATCTATGAGTAAGTTAGGCAACACAAAATTCATAAAAGGGTAGAGTGAGTGAGTGAGAGATTTAGTAGTATAGAGGTCTTGATGTACGTCAGGAATAAATCAGGGGAGTATTTTTAGCCTTTAAGAAGATCAGGGAAGAGGTGAAAACAGCACCCGGGAGAACTTGTCACCAATAACAAACTAGACTACTGAGTATAGGGTTCCGAGTCACTCAGCACAAGGTTGTGACCTTGACCTATGACCTTCTGAATCCCCAAAACGTAACTTTCAGCTTAAGGGGTTACCTTGGTGAATACACCGTTATATATATCTGTTGTAAGGGGAGCAGATTACCTGCTCGGCGCTTTCGCAACCCTCTTTCAAGTCAGGGGGCGTGAGGACTAATAACATTACCTCGTGTGTGTGTGTGTGTGAAGCTCTTACCGATTTCGAGTAATGCTGCCGACGTACTGTACATAGATACAGACGGCACTGACTCCTGTCCCGACTGAAAATGTTTTTCCTGTGCGATTAATTATCTGTCACCCTTGTGGGCTACAATGTATTGATAGTGCGAGGAAAAATAACTTCCACCAGATAATCCCATCCCAGTCCCTCTTTTCACCTCTTCCAGGGTCTTTGAGGTGTAATGTTTATTTATATGTTAATAAAAAGTAAAATGTAAATACAAAATATTGTACACTGGAAGGGAAGCCATAACACACCGGTTCCTTGTCCCCTTTATAACACTGGTGGCTGAGAGGAGAGAAGGGAAAGATAAAGACAGCGGCTGAGAGGAGAGAAGGGAGAGATAAAGACAGATTTAGGAGAGGGAGGGGACGGAGAAGTGCGTCATCTAGGAAATCGTTAGGTATATAATTGCGGAATATTTCATACTAAACCTCTCAATGATGTTCAGATCCTCAGTGATGTATAGACTCCTTGTACACTGAGGAGTTGTTTTGTTGTTGTAAATCTAGACATTACTTACACCATGTACTGTATATGACCGATTAAGTATTTTTCTGGTATCTTTTCACTTAAAACAGTTACAACACCAATTTTACTAGATTAAATAACTTTATGTAACCTTGATGTAGATTTTGTTCTGTTATGATGGCGCGGTTAAAACATATTTCAAAGAGACGACCGAGCGTTGGCTAGAAATGACAGTATTGTTGAGATAAAAACTTTAAAAGAGATTTTTAAACATAATCTCTGGATACTAATCTGCCTCTAATGTCACTCCTAACGAATTTCCCGAAGTCAATGAGTACTTTTCCACCAACTTAACAACTAAATGTAAATTTTATGCGGCCTCTTGGCGACGTATGCTAAACAGCTGCCGCACCTCCGTAGATCATTGTGATTTTTCTTTAAGCAATAACCATCCCTCAGCGCGCCACCCTCTGAATCACTTCTGGCGGGAATATTAAGGGCTGGAAATATTCATATTTTCCGCCATCAGATGTTTCACGGCACCTGAGGAGGGAAGTCTGCCAAGTCTCAAAACTCCCGCCACCTCCAAGTCTTGTGCTAGTTGCTGAAGTCTGGAAAGTCTGGTCGTTCTCGGCTCTTACCCGCAATTGTAAAGTATGATGCAGATACACGCTCCCCCCCCTCTCTCTCCTTCCATTTATTCATATCTTTTAATTCATGTTTGTGTCTCCCTCCTATTAGGCATATCATATCTCTCACTTTCTCTCCTTCATCTGCATATTTTGAACTCTCTGTCTCTGTCTCTCCGTCCCTCTCACTCTCACCTCTTATTTTCTATGTACCTTTCCCCTCTTTTCACTATCTCCTCCATCTGCATACTTATAATCCAGTCTCTGCA